ACATTTTATTGTTGGATGTAACTGGGACCCTGTGTACATAATTTCGCTCCACCACATGTACCACATGAGGTGCGAATGACAATAAAGAAACTCTGACTCTGACTCTGAAAAACATTTCGTGATATATATAGTTATCACCACCCTTCACAATACATATCGTGATATGAATTTTATGTCATATCGCACATTCCTAGCGGGATCCGATACGTAATTTGTTCTAGAATTGCGCCGCTCAAGGTGGCTGCATGTTGGAGCAGCTCTGTTACTTTCATTCTGAGATTTTGCTTTAGGAAACTTTAATTCCTCTTTTTATGGATATAAATCACTTTTTTGGATGATTGTTTCCTCTGGTATCGGATGCTGTGCAGCTGGAAGGGTTTTTATTGAAACTTTTTTTAGTTTTGGACATTTAAGATGCGTAACCATGGCAACAAGGCAGTTTTCTACAACCAACAGCAGCACGTAATCAGCTGATCCATCCATCCATCCATCCATCCATTATATTTACCCGCTTCTTCCTTTTCGGGTAGCAGAGTTCCCTGGTGCCCATGTCCAGCCATCACTGTGCGAGAGGTGGGGTACACCCTGGACAGGTTGCAAGTCCATTTCAACCAGCGGGTCAGGGCTGCACGGCCATTCATGCATGTTGCCGGTGACAGGTTGTCCATCTGAGCTTAACGTGACTTTTTTTTTTTACCTCTTAAACCGGCCAGTCAGACCTGCCTCCTCAACAAGTAGATTAACATAATTTTATATTGTTCATTCTTTAGTTTTTCAGTACCCCCTCCAAGGACTCCAAAAAGGGTGGAAAATCTGAACTGCCGTTTGGTGCATAAGCACAAACTACAGTCAGAACCCGTCCCCCCACAAGTAGGCAGAGGGAGGCTACCCTCTCATTCACCGGGGTGAACCCCAACACACAGGCACCAAGATGGGGGGCAATAAGTATGCCCACTCCTGCTCGGCGCCTCTCACTAGGGGCAACTCCAGAGTGGAAGAGTGTCCAACCCCTCTCAAGGAAACTGGTTCCAGAGCCAGAGCCATGCGTGGAGGTGAGTCTGACTATTTCTAGCCGGAACCTCTCAACCTCACACACCAGCTCAGGCTCCTTCCCCACCAGTAAGGTGACATTCCACGTCCCAATAGCCAGCTTCTGTAGCCAAGGATCAGACCGCCAGGGTCCCCGCCCTTGGCCACCACCCATCCCACATTGCACCCCACCCCTTTGGCCCCTCCCACAGGTGGTGAGCCCATGGGAAGGGGGACCCACGTCTCCTCTTCGGGCTGTGCCCGGCCGAGCTCCATGGGTAAAAGCCCGGCCACCAGGCGCTCGCCTGCGTGCCCCACCTCCAGGCCTGGCTCCAGAGTGGGGCCCCGGTGACCTACGTCCGGGCGAGGGAACATCGAGTCCATTTATTTTGCTCATCATAGGGGTGTTTTGGGCAGTAGTCTATCTGAAGCTTAACTGAACTTTTACCTCTTTCAAGGCTGGTCATTGCGCGGTCAAATGGCCACATGCGGCAGGTGATGGCATGGCAAGCCATGTTGCCATATAATTGGATCATCAGCCGCGCACATTCACTGACGCAATCAAAAACCCACCTGATGCCTCCAGTGGCCAGTCGGCCCTGCTTTAGCAGGTGCTTGTGCTTTTATTTATTTTATTTATTTTTATGTGTGCTTCACTTTTCTAATGCCTCATACCTGAAGTAATTCAGTGTTTTTGTTCCTGCTCTGTTCCCGACAAAGCAGGATACGGGTTTGTGTCAGTTGTGTCAAAAGAGCAGTGAACAAAAATATTTATTTAAAGTTTTATCAGGAGGAGAAAGTCAGCTGTCACTCTGCAGAACTCGATCACAGGTGAAAAGACGAAGCTGCGATGATGTCAGAGGGAAAGGAGGTTTGGACGGATCACGTGATATGTGCGTGCAAGTCTGACAAACACTCTCTTCAGAATGTGGAGCTTGGTTCTGAGAGCTCAGCTCCTAGAGTCCGGGATCTGAGTTTGTGCTCAAAAATACAGGCGTGGGTCATTCACATAGAGGCAGGAAAACAAAACTTATCCGAGGGTTTTAGCTGGAATCGGTGGTCTGAAGGCAGAGCAGACATCAAGGTCCAGATATTTGATGGACAGAAGAATCTGTCTTGGAGGGGAGGAATCATAAAATGGGTCAGGAACAGAGCAGGAACAAAAATGCTGAATTACTTCAGAATGAGGCATCGGACAAGTGCAGCACAAAATAATAATAAAGCACAATCACATGTGCTAAATAATTTAAAAAGATTTAGCACCTTCTGCAGTGGGGCAGACTGGCCATAGGAAGCATCAGGACATTTCCCGGTGGCCTGGCCGTTCGCAGAGGGGAACTAAAGGCTCTGCTCCGGTCGCACTTGATTTAAAATAAACATTGCTGCTCATGCAGCATGGATTGTTTATTTAAACAATTACAGTATCCCTCCATCCATCTATTATCTTTACCCGCTTCTTCCTTTTCGGGTCATGGGGGGTCGCTGGTGCCCATATCCAGCTGTCACTGTGTGAGAGGCGGGAGACACCCTGGACAGGCCTCCAGTCCATCACAGAGACACGTAGAGGCAAACAACCATTCACTCTCTCTCTCTCACCTAGGGACAGTTTAGAGTTACCATTCAGTCTAACATGCATGTTTTTGGTCTGTGGGAGGAAACTGGAGTACCCGGAGAAAACCCACGCAACACAGAGAGAACGTGCAAACTCCACCCAGAATAAACCCCAGACCAGGATTTGAACCAGGGTAACCTGCTTGCTGAGAGGCAGCAGCTCTACCAACTCCGCCACCATGTTTCCCACTACAGTATTTAAATCCAAATTGTTTACACAGAAAGAGGGAGATTAGGAGTGACAGGCGATGAGCACAGTCGTTGTATATTTACTTTTATATCTCATCAATATTTTTGATCAGCCTACATTGTCTTAAATGTGCTTTATAAACATAGGATGATTATTTTCAAGGTTCTTTGTCATTCGCATCACATGTGGTACATGAGCTGAAACAAAATTGTGTACACAGGGTCCCAGTTACATCCAAAAATTGCAAGTTTTTTTTTAAATAATTTGGCCTGAAATTCTATCCATCCATCAAGAAATTTCTGAAAAGTCAAGAGTTTTGAAAAACAAAGGGTGCAGAATCCTTGTAATCAGTTCATGAAGCTTCAGGACTTTTATTTAATTGAATTATGCATGTTTTAGTGTGGGCAGCACGGTGGCGCAACTGGCAGAGCTACTGCCTTTCAGCGCACAGGTCCCTGGTTCAAATCCCGGTCCAGGGTCCCCTCTGGGTGGAGTTTGCATGTTCTCTCCATGCATGCGTGGGTTTTCTCCATGTACTCCGGTTTCCTCCCACAGACCAAAAACATGCATGTTAGACTGATTGGTAACTCCAAATTGTCCCTAGGTGTGAGTGAGAGAATGAATGGTTGTCTCGTTTGTCTCGTTTGTCTCGTTTGTCTCTGTGTCCCTGTGATGGATTTGCGACCTGTCCAGGGTGTACCCGCCCCTCTCACAGTGATTACCAGACATGGGCACCAGCGACCCCCGTGACCCAAAATGGAAGAAGTGGGTAAAAGATAATGGATGGATGGATGGATGCTTTAGTGCCTCAGCTGTATTCATAGCTGAAAACAGTCTACCTTAGAAAACCCTTCTTTTGTGGTGTGCCTCCTGTTTGCTATTTGCAGCTGATAGCAGGACCTCTTCACTGTTGATCTTACAGGCAGATCAGAACCCTGTCTCTTTGGGTCAATATTATCCCAGGTTGTTAACCCTTTGTTCTCTCTTCTTTTAGACACTCATCAGCAAAGCAAATGCACGCTATGCCAGCTGTTACACTGACTGAGCAAAATGTCAAGCAAGCAGGAACACTGATGCCCTGCTGCTTCGGCTGTTCAAAATGAATATTGGAAACCCACAATTAAAACAGCTCTTTGTCAAAAACACAAAAGACACAAACCGCAAAACCACACTCAGGGATTTTTGAAAGTAAAAAATTAAAATAACTCGCCTTTCTTTCAGTCTGACTAAAATCATCTGTAGCTCGCCAGGCTAAAAAACTCACATCTTTGTTGTAAATGTCAAACTATAATTTTAGTATCCATTTGAAGTTTGTGTATGAAGATAATTAAAATCGTCAAGATATACAATAATTATATATATTTTTTTCTTTCTTCTTTCCCTCTTTCCTTTTCTACACATTTCTTTATTTTGTGGATCTTTTCAGGTTCTGTTGCATCACTTTCGCAGCACGTGACCCCACCCCTTCGCCATCATCCGGCTATTAGATGTGACATCGAGGCTGCTCAGGAGAAGTCACCATGTCCTAAACACAGAAGGGCCTTCTGGAGCCCTGTCCCCTCACCCTGGCCTCCCATCCCCTTCCCCTGCTCCCTCTCCCATCCACCTCTTCACCCCTTCTCCCAGCCCCATCCAACTCCCAGACCTTTCTGCACATGTAAGGAACAGGCTGCCCAGCCCTGGCTTCCTGCCGGCACACCCCTCCTCTCCCCCCGGAGAGATGAGCTTACAGAAGCATCAGCAGCTAGGTGGTGGAAGCGGTGGAGTGATGGGTTCTGACCGGGACCTGCAGTCCACCGCTTCCTCCATCTCCCTGCCGTCTGTGAAGAAGGCTCCAAAAAAGAGGCGCTTCTCCCTGGCTTCTCTTTTCAGAAGACGGAGACGAGATTCCAAATCAGGGCGCGAAAAGTCCAGAGAGCTCCATCATCCTGGACCTGGAGGACTAACAGGAGTGGATGGTATAGCTAGCATTGAGAGCATCCACTCAGAGATGTGTAATGAAAAGAAATCTGCCTTCTTCTCTGTGGCTGGGACCGAAGCTGCCTCTGTTGTTGCTGCCTCCTCCTCGTGTGTCTCAGGGCCTTCATCTTCTACCTCTTCCTCCAAGGTCGGGGTTGGAGTAGGAGCAGAGCTTCTGGAGTGCCCACTGTGCCTTTTGCGCCACTCTAGGGAGAGCTTTCCTGACATCATGACCTGTCACCACCGCTCATGCATAGACTGTCTGCGCCAGTACCTGCGTATTGAGATCTCAGAGTCACGTGTCAATATAAGCTGCCCGGAGTGCACAGAGCGCTTCAATCCACACGATATACGCATGATCCTGGGTGATCGAGTGCTCATGGAGAAATATGAAGAGTTCATGCTGAGGAGGTGGCTGGTTGCTGACCCAGACTGCCGGTGGTGCCCTGCACCAGACTGTGGGTAAGTCAAAATTACATAGAACCAATACAACCAATGACAACTATTTTTATTTTGATAATTTTACTGACTATTTTGATAAATTGATTAATTAAAAAAAACTTTTATCCAAATATCCTAAAAATCATCCATCCATCCATTATCTTTAACCTGCTTCTTCCATATTCTTATTCTTATATATATATATATATATATATATATATATATATATATATATATATATATATTAGCTCTAACAAACAATAATATCAATAAATTATTCATCGGCCCTTTTTTTTTTCTATTAAAAGATATAAAAAAAAAAAAAAAAAAACGTTTTAATTTCCACCTCTTTATTCCAAAATTGAACATTTGACTGACATAGAAATTCACACAAAAAACAGGCTGCTATTTGACTATTATGTTAGTAAAATATTGCATAATAAAAAATAAAAGTTAGTCAAATAGCTTAAAAAAATAAATGTACACAAAAATATATACAAATGTATCTTTATACCTGCACAATATGTAGTTGCTTTGTAAAATGTGTCCTTGAGGGAAGAGTGTAACCTGGATTAAAAGTGTGGATTATTGTAACCTGGATTAAAAGTGTGGATTATTGTAACCTGGATTAAAAGTGTGGATCATTGTAGTGAAGCCTTCATCTTCAACCATCGACAAGAGACCTCATGTCAGTGACGATCATGTTCAGGATGTTTCAGTGAAGACAGCTGCTGCTGTGGTTTCCATGATGTCTGTCCATCATGAAGGATGTTGTTGTTTGTTGTTGTTTTCTGGAATGAGACAGTAAATATGTATTATAACATAATTTACAGCAACTCAAGAAATGCCTTGTTTCACTTACAGTGTTAGGTTCAGGCAAAAGTAGCTAAAAGAGCAATTACGCACACACACACACACACACACACACACACACACACACACACACACACACACACACACACACACACACACACACACACACACACACACACACATATAAAATACTTAATTACACACATTTGAGTAGATGTAATAAATTACTTTAATTCCTGTTTAAATGCAATTCATCCTGCCATACCTGCAGTGTCTTCAGACTTTGCCAGCAAATTAAAAGTTGAAGCTTAATCATTAAATTATTATATTTGTGTTAGATTTATTTATAAATCACATTTAAACACTGCTTGTACCAATTAAATAAAATAAAAAGTAACACACATGTTCTCTATCACCGTCATTAATCAGCAAACAAACAAACAAACAGCAGCTTCAGCTACAGACAGACTGACGTTACGTTTTCTCTCTTGAAACAGAACAATGTGTTAAATTGTAGAGACTCACCTGCAGCACGAGTTGGGAGTGAGACATGTTGTATCAGCTGCAGCTCCTTCCTCCTCCTCGTGACTCCGAAATGTTTACGTTTATCTCCGTGGTTCTCACATGTCGTGTCGGCGATTTTCAAAGCTGCATGTTTCTCATTTTTTATCTTTGTGAAGTTCTCCCACACTTTGGAGGACTTGGGTTGAACAGTTTTCGCTGCGTCGGTCATTTGTAAAATTTACTTAATTTCCTTTGAAAACAGCCTCTGCTCTGCTCCCCCTCGCTCTGTTCAACTCACGCTGCAGTTTTTTTTTTTTTTTCAAACTTTATTCAGTCAGTCAGCATTGACAATGAACTGCTCGTGAACAATCCGAAACAGCTCCGCAGCGCCGTGAAAGATGCATAATCGCGCGACACAAGTCGATAATGAAATTCGTTGCCAACGCTTTTAATCATCGATTTTTATCGATTTTATCGATTCGTTGTTGCAGCCCTAATATAATAAAGGTGTTTTAAACCCTACCCAAACTCTCGCAATCTTCTAAACAATGTTTCTAAATTCTAAACGCTCTAAAAGGGCACAGAATGTCATGTTGAAAAACCGTGATACAGTGAATCCGTGACGAATGAACCGCTAAGTAGCGAGGGACTACTGTATTCTTACTTTGTGGTTTTTCACCTATCGTGGGGCTTCAGAGTACTGATCCCCCGCAATAAACTAGGGACTACTGTAAATGTTACCCAAACCTGGAACCCCCTCCCCCACCCCAATTTTTAAAATTTTTATATTTAATTAAATTTTTTGTGAACTCTGGTGGTCTGGATTGAAGTCACCCGTGGGCTGTCAGTTGAATAGCCCTGTTATAGGGGCTATGAGCTATTGTATACATTATTTTCTCAATATCTCAGTAAATGTGGTAAGGCTCACGTGTCCCAGGTTTTACCAGACTTGAACGCAGTATTACCTTTGCAAATCTGGAGCAGTAAAAAAGTCTCAAAAGTCACATTTACACGCCAGCTGATCCGTGTCCTCATTGTTGACTGATTCAGCCACAGCAGGTGATTTGTGCACATGTATTTGACAATTTGTATACACATAATATTCCTACTTGTGCAAATTGAAATGTGCACATTTGAAAAGCTGTTTATACATTTGTGAATCTTGTAATAAACGTGTAAAACTTGTGGTACCCATGTGGATCTTATTGGACTCATACAAATCTCATTGTTCGCTCGTGTGACTACTTTTGAGACTGATTTATCTTCATAATCTCCTGGTGTTTTACAAAAACCTGATAATCCCAGTTAATTGAAATGCATCAAGTGTAATTTCATAATCGAATTGCAACCTTCTCATAAATTGTGAGCTGCCTAAAGATTCCCTCCCCTAACAAGCATTCTCTGAAATACCCTACGTGGTAACATTTACAAAGAACACTTTTGAGTAATTGTATAAATGAATACCTTCAAAAAGTAATTAATAGGGCTGAACGATTTTGGAAAATATTCTAATTGCGATTTTTTTTTTAACTTCAATATTGCGATTTAATATGCAAATATTTTTCAATATCTTCTTCTCATGTATTTTTCAACGAACACAAGCAATAAATCTGTTTCAGTGCCAAAAAAACACTGTTTTCAGCTCTTCTGCAACTCTGTTTCTGCAATTTTCGTATAGCTCGGGAATAGCAACTTTGCTAAAATGTGTGCGCGAGGTCATTCTGTACCACTTATCCATTGTGTTTACCAAAGCTGTAAATCCAGGCTTGGTCATTATATTAATGGGCATCATGTCTTTCGCTATGAACTAGCTATAGCTCAAGTTATTTCTGTGTGATGTTTTGAATTCTGTTCATACGGAGTAAAACCTTTGAACAGTTCGGCCAGTGATCCCTGTCTACTGGTACTTTTCTTACTTGAAGCTGAAGCACTGGTCGTTGGTATTCTAGCCATGTAACTATCATAAATGGCTTTGTGGTGTTTTTTAAGTGATAAGATTTGTGGTGTTACCTCGAGAGGCAGCAGCAGCAACAAGGCAGGTTCTGCACAATACATGTCGTTGCGCAGCATCTTCTTTTTTATAGACAAAATAATTCCAAACAACAGACGTGCTGCTCCTCTTTGGTATGAAACTTTCAGATGTGTCAGCTTCTGTCGAGCCCGACACCATTGTGCAACCGGTTAAAGTGCAGCGTTGACTTCTCCCGCTCTCTGCTCTGCTTCGCTCCGCTCAGTCGCAAGTCACGTAACCAGATCATGTGACCAGTCAAATTGTAGCCTTTGTGATTAGAAAATCTGGTTTTATCATATTGCGATATTATTACAAATGCAATTAATTGTTCAGCCCTAGTAAATAAGGATGTTTTTTTTTTCCTGTTGGCAGTACTAGTGAACCTATGGGTGCATTCACACTAGCCCTGTTTAGTCCGCTTTAATCGAACTCTAGCTCGTTTTCCTAGAAAGTCCGGTTTGTTTAGGGAGGTGTGAACGCGCCATTGAACTCTGTCACGGAACAAAAAGGCGAACTCTGGCCCGGGCTAAAACCTAGGTCTCGGTCCGGTAGAAACGAACTCCAGCACGGTTCGAGTACAGTGCGAATGTAAACAGACCGAGCCCCGCTCCGCAGGGTAAACAAACATGCATTTCTCTGACCTTATATGGAGCCGTCGGCTGACTTGTGTGAAAAACAATATTCTCCATGGTCTTCTGTTTCATCTTCTGCTCATGCTGAGACCATTTTTGAAAAATGACAAAATATAACTCCTAAAACTGCTAAAACTTGATGCCACTTTGTTTTTATTTTTATTTACAGAAGAAGAAGAAGAAGAAATGTCTTCAGAGGTTTTTGTGTTGTTTCTTTCAGTAGTTCTTGGTGCAGCGCCCCCACAGGCGAGCGGGGGAATAGGTTGGTTCAACAGGTTGACTTGACTGCACAGTGCAGTGTGAATGCAAACGCACCAGCTCAAATGTAAACAAAAGGTCATGAATATCGGTCCCGAACCGAGTCTACCGGACTATCTGGTGTGAAAACGACCTAAACTCTACCCTGGAACATTTTTGCATTCATCCAAACCCTCATGTCAGAAAAATGCCGTTATTAAATTTCCAATTCTTTTTTTTACTTTAGTTTTTACTTCAGTTGTATTTTGGAAAAAATAAATATAAAAGGTGCAGTTTTTTTTTTTTTTAAATCTACCGTAGGGTGAGCTACAACTAGAGGTGCACCGATTGCAGTTTTCTGGCCAATCGCCGATTTCTAAAAAGTCTGACCTGCCGATTCCGATTTTGTTTTATAAGCGACACTGTCAGGTGTTATAAAGTCACAATGCACCTTCAATTTTCCAATATTATTTTATTGAAAAACATATCTTTGAACAATATCCTAGAAACAATGCAAACTGATTTTTTTTTTTCAACCTTTATTGAGACAGGTAAATCCCATTGAGCCTCGAGGACTCATTTACAAGAGAGACCTGATTTCAACAAAGAGTGATGACAACAGTGGACAACAGCGACGACGATAGACAGTTATAGAAAGGCATACAGATTTTATTTTATTTTTTTATACAAATAAGATGGCAAAAAAAGTAACAAAAACAGCTAGATTGTAAGGTGAATGTAGAAAACTAAAAACAGGAACATGTCTGCATTGTTCCTTGCCAGGAGTCCAACAGATGTTTAAAGCCGCTTAGAGAGGTCAAGGTCAAGAGCTTCAGATCTTTTTGTAAGATATTAACTGGCCATGAGGTAGTGCTCTCAAATATAAATGAAGTTTAGACAATTTTTGTTAAAACTACAAAAAAAATCGGTAAAATCAGTTTCTCATGCAAGTATCGTACGATTTCCCAAAATTAAGGAAGTCGGGGCTGATAAATCATCCGGCCGATAAATCATCCGGCCGATAAATCATCTGGCCGATAAATCATCCGGCCGATTTATCGGCGCACCTCTAGCTAAAATACTATTAAAAATTAACCAACTTTGTGTCATGTTTTCTCAGTTGATGTTGGACATTTTTGTCTTTCATTATTGTCTGGATTATTTCTTGTATGTCAGTCATATACTGTACCCATATATAATTGTATTTTAAACTTGCAAAAGTCCTTCTTTCTTAATGCAAGTTGGGAGCATGCTGTATTTTATTGTCTTGAGTGTTTTGTTTGTCCTCTTCCAGATATGCAGTAATAGCGTTTGGGTGTGCCAGCTGTCCAAAGATCACATGTGGCAGGGAAGGTTGTGGCACCGAGTTCTGTTACCACTGTAAGCAGCTGTGGCATCCTAACCAGACCTGTGATGCAGCTCGACAACAGCGAGCCCAGAGCCTGCGCCTGCGCCTGAGAACCGTGCGCTCGTCCTCCCTCAGTTATAGTCAGGAGAGTGGGGCTGCAGGTAGGCTGACTAAAAAGAAATTACAAAAGCACATTTGCTTTTTCTTTGTTTTTGCTGTATCTACATTAATGTTACGCCACAAGAAGTACTTGTAGAGATGTATTAAGAAGTTAAATTAAATTAAGTGTAAACTAATTTGCCATGTTAAGTGTCCTAAGAAAATATTAATATTTTACCCCATTGCACATATTTGTCATGACCAGACATCACTTGCAACATAAACAGCGTAATTGTTTTTACCTGACTCTTGCATGAACAGTACGTGTTTTACTCGGTTGTCTTTTTTTTTTCTGAACTACCACAGCCAGATGAGCCAGATTTGCATCGTTTACACAGTTTGCCTTTAAACAGTTTAGCTGTCAGTAGACCACCTTCCTAATGCTTTCATTTCATATAAAATCAGGTCTGATTTCTTTGGGTGTTAACAAGAAACTTCACGAGGTGCCCAAATGTTTTTTGGTTTTAGACAGTGGCAGTATTACTTTCAGCAGTCGAATGTTTGGCAGAATTAAATCGACATACTGTAATTGTCGGGCTGCAGAACTAGGGGTCCACCTATCAGTACTGGCATAGTGCTAATTAGTTGCGCGCAATACTAACTAGCTAAAAACAAACAACGCGCATCTCAGCTCTCTCTACCCAGCTCTAAACTACGAGTACAGACAGCTCAGCTGTCCACCCCCCCCCCCGCTTTATCATGAAATCCTGTTTTCCCTTTGACTTTATTAAATAATCTGTTAAAGTTAATTCAGCTGAAAAATCATAAAAAATACAAAATTATTGGAACTCTCAGGAATATTTCCCTCAAACATGTTTAAAGAAGAGACACAGCCTTTGGTTCAACATTATTCAAACCCACAGATGTACAAATCACAAAACAAGCATTACACTTTATATTCAAGCTTTAATTCAAAGCTAAAAATAATCTGTATACAAGACAAAAAAATCTGTATACAAAAAACAAAACCACAATGAGCGCAAATACATCAATTGATGAAAAAAAATATAGAATTTTAAATATAGATATCCTGATGCATGCTCAATAATCCAGGTAGAAAAATCTAAAAAAAGTTAAGTCTGGTCTTCTGGACGTTCAAAAAACAAAACAAACAAACAAAAAAAGTAGAAATGTTTCTTCTTTCGTCCGAAAGACTTCTTCAGTCTGAGGAGCTGTATTCAGCTCAGTCTTATAAAAAGC